GGCTGGTGGGTTTGAACCACCAGCCTTCTGGTTAGCAGTCAAATGCCTTAGGCACTATGCCACCAGAGCTCCCTGATATTCCTTTTCACCTTATAGGCCTATTGTTTGGCTGAAAGTTGAGTTCAGTTCCAGACTTGAAGGGTGTCTAAGGGCCACAGGCTTGAGAATCCCACCAGTCTCTCTCAGACCAGCACGCTGGTCTTTTTTATGATTTTAAGCTTTGTTCCTCATTTTTCTCCTACTCTCTCGAGGACCGCTTATTGTGATTTCTTTCGAACAGTCAGCAGTTGGTAACTGGGCACCATCTAGTTCTTATGGTTTCAGGGTCATGGAGGCTGGGGTTCACATGGTCCATTAGCCCTCTGGATTAATTGTTTCCTGTGTCTTTAAATAAATTATTTAAAATCAAAACACTCTGGAGTGTGTGGTTATTTTCACTTTCTCTTTACTGTTGACTTTTTGTCTTGTTTTATTAAAAAAAACCAATATCTTATCAAGAAAAAAGATAAAAGGAGATTTTCTTTTTTGGAAAGAGTCATCTTATAAATAGGATTGTAGCGTTTTAGTTGTTGGATTATAAGTGCTCATTTAGAAAGGCAAGTGGATGTAGGGTAAAAGCTATTCACTGGAAATTCATCCACCAATGATCATCTGTAATATCCAGTTTGAAGACTCTTAGATACTGCAAGTCTCCAAGTGACTAGAAATCAAAGATTAAACTATCTATGGAGGAGCTGTAGCATGAAGTGCTTCTTACGGCATTTCAATTCCTTGAAAACTGATCACACACATAAAACAGAATGCACGACCTTCAACAATGCCAGGCATCTTCAACAGAGTCACCACTCCAAGCACTGGGCTATGAAAAGGAAGCGTGAGACCAACCCTAACCTCTGACAACATGAAATACCAGCACCAATCCATACAAGACCAAGAGTGTGGCTGTACCACAGGAAGGGGTAGCTATTTCAGAGAAAATAACAGAAATGGAGACAATAAATTGAGGTATTTAGTAAATAATTCCTAGCCCCTTTGCCCAAGGACTTCTGGTGGCATAGTGTGTAAGGCATTTGACTGCTAACCAGAAGGCTAGCAGTTCAAACCCACCAACCCCTCCTCGGAAGGAAGGTTGGGCAATCTACATCCGTAGTGATATCGCCTCAGAAACCCAAGAAGGGGTCACCATGAGTCAGATCCGACTTGCCGGCAGTGAGTTTGGTTTTTTAGCCCCTTTGCCTAAGAAGCTTCCCCTTACCTGGAGAGAAAGAAAGTAATAAAATATGATTTTTATAAACGAACATTTGGCATCTTTTACTTCAAGCAGCAACAGTGCCTGTGCTCATTTTAAAACTACTCAGGGTCAGTAGCCCATTGGTGCTGAACTCGTAGGGCTGTGTGAGAACAGTACTTAATGTCCTTGGTGCACAGAAAGGGATTAATCCTATGGCGGATGTGACAACCAGAGAACGATCTCGTTGGAAACTGCAGCAGGGCATCCTCATCCAGTTGAGCTCTGTCTCAGCATTTCTCCAGCCTGGTCACCATAAAACATCTTGCATTTTGGTTTGGATGTTGACTTAATACAAAACTTCAGAGAAAAGGAATAAGAAGTACCTCTCCTGGCCACCCCACCCTCTATTACCCTTGAACTTGGGATCAGACCTCTGGGGAACTAGATGCTTAATTGAGAACAGTCCAAAGGTCAGTACAAAAAGGAAAAACTCCCACCTCTTTCCCTGAAAGAGCTTTTAGAGGGAGCTCGGACACTCCACTCCTGCCTCCCAAAGGCTGGGTAATTGCCAGGCTGGCTGTTGCGAGCCCCTTGGCCTGCTCACCTTTCACTATAATGCATGGTACAGCATAATCATGAAATGTGCTTATTAATTTTACTCATTTGACACTATGCTCTTCTGCCCTGAGCTCAATGTTAGGAGAAAATGATAGGGATAGATTCTGCTCCTGTCAGATTTACCGAGACTTTCAGAAAACCAAACTATCAAAGGCCATCTACCGCCCACTAGCCAAGCATTCCAGATGACCCCAAAGGTGCAAACAGAATGTTAGAGATACAGATCCACAAAACAGAACAGAGAGGATGGGGAGCCTCGTGCCCCAGGGTTCAGCTCCTGGCGTGAGTCCTCCAGGGAGAGAGATCCCTGAGCCTGTCCGCCCACGGATCTTGAGCTCTGAGCCTTGATTCACAACCTGCTGCTTCATAATTCATCAAAAGACACTTTGGCTTCTCGAATCAGGAACATTTTTATTAGCTTCCCCAAGAGTTTTATGGCACAAAGCCATACCTAATGATTCTATTTTATGGAAAGTTATCCATTCAAGCAGTGCTTTGAAGTCAAGCAGCAGGTAAGACTCAAATCTCTGTCAAAAAAGATTCCCTCGTTCTTTCACTTTTAAAATGTTTATAAGCTTTCAAACAGTTGGGAGAGGGATGTGAAGCATTTTAACAGGCTTCTCTTCCCTCACACAGGACCCAGGGCTGACTTATCCAATATATATCTGCCATTATGAGGGTGAGGCGGGCGGGGGATTTCACCTGCAACCTCCTCCTCCCAGGGACATTGGCAATGTCTGAAGACATTTTTGATTGTCACAACTGCAGGGACAATGCTACTGGCATCTAGTAGGTAGAGGCCAGGGTTACTGCGAACAGCACGCATAACAAAGAATTATCTGGTTCAAAATGTCAAGAGAGCCAAGGTTGAGAAACTCTGCCTTATGGCTTCTTCTGAACCATGCATTGCATCCCTTCCACCCTCAGGATGTCAGACATTGACATCTATCACCACAGTTTTCTAATCACTGTGGCAGGTGTACTCTTGGTGCACATTTTTCACTGAATAAAATGTTTCCATAAACAAAATGAGGAAAGTGAAAGCAAGATAACCTTAGAATCTCGGAAGACATGATAATACTCACTGTTAATAAAACCCTCCTAAAGTTACACTGCAAGGAGCTCTGGTGGTATAGTGGTTAAGGCTTTTGGCTGCTAACCAAAAGGTCGGTGGTTCAAACCAGCTGCTCCGTGGAAGACAGAAGAGCCAGTACATTTCTGTAAAGATTTACAGCCTTTGAAACCCAGTAGGGGTCACTATGAGTCAGAATCAACTCGATGGCAATGAGGGTTTTTTTTTTTTTTAAAGTTACACTGTACTTTTTAAGCTCTACTAAAATCCAAATTTACCTACTAAAACAACAAAATAACCATCAGTGATACCGAGAACCACCACTGATGTCTGCTGAAAAGGGAAGCAAAGAAAGTTCTCTGCTAATCTGTGGCCATATGGTCACCAGAGCACTAGCCTTGGGAGGAGACCTGGTCCGATTCACCACTCCCGAGGACTGGCACTCGATTGCTTCACTTCTCAGAGCTCTGGTTTTCCTTATCAGCAAAGTGGAGATAAAACTACTTGCCCTTCTAGGGAATACACCAAAAACCAAACCAAACTCACTGCCGTCGAGTCGGACCCGACTCATAGGGACCTCTCCTTGAGTTTCCGAGGCGGTATCACTACAGGAGTAGATTGTCCAACCTTCCTTCAGAGGAGTGGCTGGTGGGTTTGAACCGCCAGCCTTCTGGTTAGCAGTCAAGTGCCTTAAGCACTATGCACATAAGAGCTAAATGAGTTCACGGGTAGGACACTGCTTTGTGAACTCTAAAGAGCTATGCAAATGAAGACTCTTTTCCACCTTTCACAGACTCGTGGATCCTTTCCACAAAATGTCAGAAATAGAAGTAACTTTGGAGATTAACAAATCTAACCCTTAAGTGTAGAGAAGATGAGAACGACCAACACAGAGCTCAAGCAACTTAGCCATGTCCAAGGCCGAGGCCCAGGAAGCTGCCTAGACAGGCCAGAACTCAGCCTAGTCTGATTCCCAAACCAGGACAATCCCCACTCCACATTGGTGATGCGCTCCCTCCCCAGAGCCCTAGTGGTGCAACGGTTAAGTGCGTGGCTGCTAACTGAAATACTGGCAGTTCAAACCCATCCAACAGCCCCACGGGAGAAGAGCTGGTGATCTATCCCCCAAGATTACAGCCTAGAAAACCGTACGAGGCAGTTTTACTCTGTCAGATGGGGTCGCCATGAGTCACAATCAACTTGATGGCATCTAACAACAACAGTAACAGAGGAGGGTGGACATCTTACACATAAGATTGAGAGGTTCTTGAAAACAAGAGATAAACAAAATGTACAAACTAATATCTTGACTTACTACATCATAGCCTGTCGGGGCTCTGTTCCTAGAAGCCACCACCCCCACTCCCGTGATGGGGTCCATTGATGTTTCTGGCAAGGCTTCTGAAAGGTCTTTGACTTCAGGCATGGTGAATTTGTCCTGGTTTAGAAAAGGAAAAAAAAGAAAGCACAAAATTGAAACTTAATGTTTAAAGTGAACGAAACAAAGTCTCAAACAGAACCAGAATCTTGTGGCAAATGTCTCGAGCTAAGATCTGATCTGGCTGAAGGGGCCCTGACCTTACCTCTAACCCTGTCCTCAAATCAAGAATTCAAATCACCTCTGGCCCCTGCTCTTCTGAAGTTCCCTTTGAAAACCAAACTAACACAGTTAATGCAGGCTCGTCCCTGCTCTGAGGCGGCCAATTTGACTCAAGCCCAAAAGCAGACCACTCTGAACTCTACATTCCAACCGCCCAATTTCTGAACTAACAGCTTCTCTGACTATAAATCAGCCATGACCAAGTCTACCACCACCTTTCATTTCTTTCCCTCACATCCTCTCTTTGTGGAGACGCAGACCTCCAAATCCACAGCCTCTGCCACAATCAAGGTTAGACTGTTCAGCAGGTGGAGCTTTGCAAATAAGCAAGGACCTTTGCAAACACATAGAAGAAGACATTCTGGGCATGGAGGCAAAGGGACCGTGTTCAAGTGCAGGCCCCATGATTTACTAGCTAGTGACTTTGAGCAAGCAATTTAACCTCTTGGAGCCTCAATTTTCTCATAGAACGAGGATATGATACATACTTGCAATGCTGTTATGAAAACTGAGAGGCAATTGTAAATGAAGGGCCTGAAACTGTCTCTGGCACACCGCAGCCACTCAACAAAAAGCATAGCTGGAGAGGCTTAGAGCACAAGGGCCCGGAACAACTGGTCAGAAATGTGGTAGGAGCCATTCCCTACAGGCCTGGCAGATCTTTTTGCTGTATTTAACCCCACAGGTTATGCGGGCATTTACTCAAACCTAAACACTAACAATGTCTATAATTCTTGCCGGGCACTTTGGGAGAGAGGTGAGGGGAGGATGAAATTATTATTCTACCGCTGACGGCCTTCTGATGCAACCAGAGGAGACAGGTAATATGAGGAACGCAGGGCCTGGGTAGCTGGAGTGGCGATGTACCAGAAAGCCAATAAAAAAAGGCAACACCTTATGCAAATGATTTTAAGTACTTCTAAAGGACGAGTAGGGAAAAAGAGCAAGCTAAATTCTACCCCCTTCCACAGCAATTAGATTCCACTGGCTTTAGGTCCAGGTCTCTCAAGGCTGGTTACTGCTTCTAAAGCAAACCAAACACCCCGCCCAAGTAGGCAGGCAGGAGGAATACTCTTACTTCTCAGTAGACAATCAGAAAAAGCAGAGGCCATCAAAAAATGATGCAGCCTTCTAAATAGAAACCACCACAATACTGTGTGTAAGTCACCCATGTAGTCCACGTCCCCCAGGACCCGCAAAGGGTCCAGAAACAGATTTGTCAATACAAGGAGCCAAGTCCCCCGTCAAGGCTAGGAAGCGTCTGGCACCAGCAGCACTATCAGCTTCTGTTTATTACAAAAGCTAAACTAAGTTATGTTTTACCTAATTCTACTGAATATAAGCTTCTGTAAAGCCAGGGCTGGGGGCAGGGTACCATGCTGCATCACTGCATCATTTCTTTCTCACATTTCATTTCCAGGCAGGCTTATCTACATGAGGCACAGGGGCTGGAGTTCCTCGCACACAGTAGGCGTTAAGTAAATATTTATTGAAAGAGGATGTGTGCATGCACCAAATCAAGGAGGCTTAGAATTAAATAGCAAGCACTGATCAAAAAGTATCTTCACTTGAAAAATCCTGTCTTATTGGCAATTGCTGCAGTTTGCAAAATACGGGTATCTGCTCTGGGTTACTGAAATGGTTTGCAATTAGCAACTCATTAACAGAATGTACGAATTCTGCCAGTGCTGAAATATCATGCTGTGAATTTAATAAAGAACACGTGAGGTAGGTTTTTTTAAAGATAGTAGGGCCTCTATCCTTCTCAGAAAGAGAGAGCGAGAGAGAAGAGGAAGGCATTGGAATAAATAAGATTTTATTTGCTGATAGATTCATGTCCTCGGGTCACAATATCCTCTGCGAGGTACTGATGACAATCGGCTCGCTTTTGCTCTAAAGCACACTGATATCAACTGCGGTCGGGTAAAAGCACGCTTAAAGGGAACGATGCTGTTCCCAGAATGCACCAGAGAAGGCAGCCCAGCAGCAGATTTCCAAGATGGCTGCAGGCTGCCTCCCAGCTGAGGCAGACAAAGGAGCCGGCTTCCTGTGCCTGGGCCCGGTCAGACCCCAGCCTGCTGATGGGGCCAGAGGAGCAGAACATTAGCACGGAGCATCGCAGATGCACGCCTCTTTCTTTCCCTTTTTTCCCCCAGTTGCCATTCCCTGGGGATCAAGGCAGCCTTTGTGAAATATAGACAAATGACTCCTCACTGTGCAGGGCTGCGGCCGGGCTCTGCTGGGGAGGAAGCACCACCACCAGCTAAGGAAGCTTTTAATGAGAAACGCCCAAGATATCCATGGCAGAGGCAATCACTCAAAGAAGCTTGCCCTGAATTACATATTTTCTGACTGCAAATTACTTTTAACAGCGTCTCTACCGTCACTTCAATTGACCTTCCTAACAAAAGGCCATTTATTAACTAGCACTCCACGTTTTCTGGACTTTGTGGAGCCTCGAGCCAGAAGGGATGGCACCACCGAGTCCGCAGCAGCCCAGGGTCACAGGCCAGGCCTCTGCGAGGGGGAAGAAGAGGCCATTAATGAGAGCCTGCAAGGGGGGGGGGGAGTGGGGGAGGAGCAGGGCGTTTAAGATCAACATTAACCTGTCTAGAAAGAGGCGGAATGGAATAAAACGCCAAGGCCTACTTGCAACAACCACTGGCTTCATCCTCAGCAAGTCCTCGTCTAGCATCCACTTTCATCTCAGAACTCTGACACACAACACGCTAATAAGCTTCGCCTGTATTTGTACAGGCGCTATGTACTCTCAAAAAGTTGTCTCATACTTCATCTCAACAGCTAGGTGTCACGTTAGCCCCATTTTACAGGAGAGAAAAGTGAGGTGCAGAGTTTTCAGACACCACAAGCAGGTGGTGGACGGCAGAGCCAGATGGGAACTCTAGTCTTCCTTCCCCAGTCTGGTTTGCCTTCCTTTCTGGTACGTAGAGAGAGACCAATGTCCCGGCCAATCAAGAAAATGGTTTCAACACTAATTATATTTTAAAATGCCAACGCTCTTCCTTCTCCAGCCACGGCCCAATAAGTCAAGCAAGGAGGAGAAAAGTGCAGAAAGATAAAAGTAACGTGGGATTAATTTTCCTCGCACCTCAGTTTCAAGATTCAACATTTCCCTCATAAATAATTTACAACAATAAAAATGAGCTAAGGCCATGTTTGTGTAGGACGGAGGTAAATTTAGGCCTAATGAGGGAGATCCAAGCACTGCACAGGAGGGAATAGGTTGATCTATAGCAGAGTGAGAGCGGACAGACAGCACGCAGGCTCCATTACCAGCAGGCAGGGCCAACCGGGAGGGGGAGCAATGGGGAAGCTTTCACCCTCCGGCTGTGGCTGCGAGGAGGGTCTCAACTAGCCAAACGTTGCCCGAACATTCTAAATGACATAATAACAGATGTTGAGATTTTTCAGAATGCTAAGATTGAGCCAAGCTGAAACTAAGTCATTCTTCCCAAATGTCAGGTAAGGAGTAAAGGTGATGGTGATGCTTAGGAGTCCCGTCTGCTCTTGGGCATGGGGAGAGGGCATAGTGGTGACACTGACCTTGAGCTAATCCTTCTCTTTAATCTTCAATCTCAAAGGTCATCTGGCCCCAATCCCCACCTTGATCTCTTCCCTTCCTGCACATCTCATTCCTATGTCTGCCCCTGAGAGGGCTCCCCCACAAGACAGAGAGAGAGAAAGAGACTGAGAGAGAGAGAGAGAGAGACTGAGAGAGAGAGTGTATGTGCACGTGCATGCATGCACACGTGCGTACTGGGATAAGATGAGGGAGGATTAGGGTAAGGCACGTTTTCCAAGCCAGGAGGATTTTTCCCAACATGCCATGCTCGATGTGGAAGAAAGCTTCCTGCTTTTGCCTGCAATGCTGCAAACAGAGTGCTTGAGGGAGGCCCCAGCTCCCAGCACAGCAGCACCTCGCCAATGCTGTCATCCCAGGTTCATAGAGAAATGAACTTGAACTATAAAGCCCCTTCATACAGATGGCACACTGCTCCCTTGTAGCTGATCAAAGAATTGCTGGAACAGTGTGCTTCATCCCTAAAAGTCAGCAGTGCTGGGCTTAACTGATGTTGAACATTGTTTCAGAATCAAAGGCGGGACTCCTGGCCCCAGTCTGGGAGAAAGCTAAGTTACTGTATCATGGTTGAAAACTCAGGGGAACTTTGATATCATCTCTGTTTAATTTCCACAGCCCTCTTGAGCCTGGAGTTTATCTCACTTTATCAAGTCCCTTACTGAAATCAAAACCCAACTAACACAGCTCAGACCTCTCTCCACTGAGGCCTTTTACAGAAGCGGGGTGTGGGAGGAGGAGTTTAAAGTGCTTTCAGGGGCAACAATGGCAGGGGGCCAGGGGGCGCTGTCTTCAAAGGAGATGCAGCAGGCAGGGAGAAAGCACCCGCGGGCCTCCCGCGCAGTGAGGAAGGCGAGGAAGGCAGACTCGGAAGCAGGGGCAGGGCTGCCTGCCAGGGCTGAAGGCTCGCCTTGCACACAACTTCTGTGGAGAGTATTTCCAAGGACTAAGGGGGGCAGGTTAAGTTGGGCTACTGTAATTGAAAGGACAAAACCAGTGGGTTAATTAAGTCCCTACAGAAGAACAAACTTGTGATCAGCTTGTTTAAAATCCGAAGTCAAGGGCACAAAAGACATAAAGTGTCTGCCCACATCTACCAGCTTATGGGGCTGGGGAAGGGAAGGGAATAAATATTTCATCTGCCATGGGAAACAGCTCAAGAGCAGGGTCACCACTGGAAAATGGGCTTGTCCCTCAGTAAAAGCTGCTGCTGCTGCCGTCCTGGGGTGGTTCTTCGCCAGCTTCCCAGGGACAGCAATGGCCTGCAGAAGCCATCTTCCTTCTGGTGCCCCATGATTACTGTCACCTTCCTGCTGACAAATTTTAAGCAAGGAACAGGACACTGTCCTCTCCTCGCAGGAGGGAGGCTGTGACAAGGCTTCACCAATGCACCCCCCAACACATACAAACATACAAAGTGGCCACTTCCATGCAACAAAGGCTCTGAGACCTGTCTCCTCAGGGGGCAGCAAATTGAGGGCAGGTCCCATGCAGCACCCAGGCAAACAGCCAGTCAGTTCTTGGGCCATTACTGGGGACAACAGCACACACTGTGAGGTGTCCACTGTGGAACCTAAGAAGGCCATCCTGGTGTCTCCTGCACTTTGGTCTGCACAGATCCTTTTAAGAACTGACTTCGTTTCAGGGTGGCTCAATCCTATCATTCTGAAAAATCTGAACCTCTATTATTTTTTCATTCAAAAAACTGGAGCAATATTTAACTTTCCTCATTGAGACTCTGCTTGCAGCCACAGCGGGAAAGGTAGAAACTTCCCCAAATTGGTGACCAGTCATAAGTCAAATCACTCTGACAAATGCTGTTGGGTATAGCAGGTGGCATCAGGCCACAGACTGCCAGGAGGGCCACTAAGATATTGGGGAACTAAAGCAAATATTTTTCTAAGCTCTTGTGGAACACAAAGAATTTTCCAGTTAGGAAGCTAACCACTGTGAGCACATCCTTTTCCCCCCAGTAAATGT